ACTCTAACTGTTCAACATCATTGCCTTCATTACTTCCCATTGTTTCATTGTCTTGTTTTATTTATTTTATTGTGAAGGTTCACTATAAAAAAACAAAGAAACAGTGAAATAGTATTTTTTCTATTGTTGCAGAAATGTTGCATCATTTTTCCTGACCTTTACCTCTTGGTGTGAAAAAGCTGCTAACTTGTCGTGAAACATATTCTCTTCCTCAGGCCGGTTTCACCCGTTCGTCTTGACTACGGTCAACTCGGAGATCGTTTTAATCTGGGGGGTGGAGTAGCAGAGAGAATCAGTCCCATGATTCCCCGCTCTCCTCGCTCTGATTGAGAGCCCCCAGAAGGGGATTTTTCTTTTCATGATGTTTTATAGAGAAAAACTTTATTTCAATAAAGGAACACTCATTTTGTGGATTTCAAAGCGATTTGTTGAAATAAAACCGATCTTTCAATTAAAGCTTCTGCCTCATTGTGTAAACTGCATCTTCATGAATGAGTCCACAATAATGAAACCTTCCGGTTTTATCTTTTTAAAGATGTAGAAGAAGATAGAAGATCTACTTTATTAATCCAGCAAGGGGAAATTCAATTATACACTCTGCAGCAAGACAACAGGGAAGTAAACGTGCAGCATTTCTTACCTGACAGACCGTCACACATTGAATTTAGCCATCAAGACTACAGCTGACCCTCTGCACCCCCTTTGGTCTGAGTAAGAACTCTTGACTTCAGAGTGCAGGTACAGAATGCCCAGGATGAGGACCACAAGAGGCCTCTTAGACTGACTGTAAAGATTATATCTCTTGTTCATCTTTCCGCTGTGAGTCCGCTTTGTTCAGATTCAAAAATTGGCCTGATTTTAGTTTGAAATTATGACAACTTTTATGTGGGTTCAAGGTGCCTCAGGAGATAAAGTGTCTGTGACATCACACCCAGCCGCATTGTTAAGTTCACAGTACCTCCTTTCTTGTGATATTGAAGGGAGAATGCAGTTTCTGGGAAGCTGGTCAGGACTCTTCGCTGTCTTTGACGCACCACTGGTTCATCTTTAAGGTGAAGCTCATTGTGGTAGGCAGAGAAGAAAGAAGAAGCTTAGAATATTTGGTAGAGTCGTCGCCTCTTGACCAAAAGGTTGAGGGTTCGATCCCCAGCTGAGCAACATGTCTGATGTGTCCTTGGGCAAGACACTTAACCCTGCATTGCTCCCACTGCTACTGTGGCGGTGTATGAATGGTGATGTATGTCGCTTTGGATAAAAGCGTCTGCATACATTTATAAACTGTTATGCATACCAGAAGCAGATTTTACACCTGTCTTTAGGTGCACAGCATAATATTTTTTTAATACTGTATAAATAATAGTTTCATTCAGAATATCAAACAATCGGAGCAGAAAAATATTTATTTGTTCAGACACACAGCTTTATTTAATTTTGAAACGGGGTCCTTGGCTCCTAAACTGAAAGACATTTTTCTTCTGACCCAAACTCTTTTCTCCTGGGTACACTGACACCTTCAGCACTGATTCACCTTTAAGACTTTAATATGAGTCTGCTGCCCTCTAGTGGACAAAACTGAGAACTTTCTCTAACACCTCATCCCTGAGGAAGAGACAAAATACATTACCTCTAATTAACTGTTGAATATCAATAAAATGCCAGATTAGTTCAATCTGCCTGAGTTATTTGAATTACTTTTCCTGGCTTTACTCGTTTCCTTCATTTAAATTATAAAGAGTACCCACTCACTCATACAGTACATCACAAGACAACACATGAGATTCAATTACGCTGGGTTACTGCATGTTACACAAACAATGCACATTATTAATTTCAGCCAATCAAATTAAAAAGTAGACAGCAACATCAACGCATCAAAAGAAAGTCAAAAGAAAGATCAGACTGGACAAAGTGAGAAACAAAAAGGTAATAATATTTGATTAAAAAAGACGGCTGTGGGGCAATGGTAGAGTCAGTTTCCCAACTGGAAGGTCAGGGGTTCGATCCCCATCTCCTGCAGCTACATGTCCGATGTGTCCTTGGGCAAGACACTGTTAAATAATATTTATATCAGATATCTGTCATGTGACGGCCTGTCCATGGTTCTTTGCCTGGTACTGATATTGTTTGGTGTTTCGGGTTTTGGCATCATCTGGTGGTTGGTGGTGGTATGCCTGCTGGTTGTTGGGAGACCCGCCCACCTACCTGTTGACTGGGCTTCACCTGAGTAGCAGGGCATATAAACCAGGCTGCCTCAGCTTTCTGGCTCTCTTCTTCTGGACAGCCTAGACTCATCACCTTCTGCCGTTGTATTTTTGTGTTGTTTTGGAATAAACTAGACCTCAGAAGCCAGTTGACTGTGTGGATGTGTCATAACAGTCATTTACTGCATTCAGTTTTAGATATGAATGTGTTTGCCATCTCAAGGAAAAAGAAAAAGGAATTAAAGTGTATTAGACAACATTTCAACTTCTTAGATATTATTTTGCAAATATTTTTTTTATCTTTTAATTTATATTTTTTAAATGTTATGATTTTCTTTTTTGATGTTTATGTTTCTTTTCTTCCATATTTTTCTGTTGATTGTTGCTGGATCAGAAGGGTTATAACTTGCAATGTAAACAAAATAATTGGTAATGTATCTAATTTTAAATTAAAATGTTTTCTGTTTATGTTTGCACCTGTATATCAGTATATACTATATATTTATTTTACTGTATTTCTTTCTGCTTTAAGATTTGATTCTCAGCAGATACAACAGGTGTGTGAGGATGCTAATATCTGCCACGAGGCTAAAACCACACACACACACACACACACACACACACACACACACACACACACACACACACACACACACAGAAAGAGAAAGAGAGAGAGAGAGAGAGAGAGAGGGGGAGATAGATAGATAGAGAGAGAGGCTGCTTCCATCAGCTCTGATGGGAAGTTCTGGTTAAACATTGGCCAAAGTTTGCCTTCCGCCTTCTGTTGTTTTACACTGGAGGTCGTGCATTTGTTGCAGCCGTTATTGACTTAGTAATTAAAGTATTTTAACGTGGGGATTCTGTAATCATTACATACGCCACCATCTGTCTCTGCACCGCTGCGTGAGCACCTGAGATGGATTTTTCCTCCTGAGTAGATAACGTATAAAAACCAATCGAGACGGGAGGCGGGAGGAGAACAACGTCACTGCCATTCAAAAACAGTCTGACTCATGCTAACAGCAGTTTCCTTTCTGTGGGGATTTTAATTCAGGACTCAAAATTGACCCGACAAATGCATCATTTAAGACAAGAAAACCTGCTTTTATTAAATATTACATTTGAATAATTATGTAATATCTAATTATTTAATTAAACCTTCATGATTAGCTCTTTATTATTGTTAATGAAATCTAAAAGAATAATGAAAACTAAGATGGAAAAAAGCTGTTCTGTGTGTTTTCAAAAATAACTCAAATAAAAAAAGAATGTTTTTTCATACCGTCTGATGCTTTATGGTTCGTCTCAGGCACACTGATTTGAGTTTGGGATGAGCTTTTGTCAGAAGTGACGTCATGAAGTGTGTGGTGCACAAAATGGTTTGATGTTTACCTTTTCTTGCCCGCTCGGGTCTTGACCTTGGCAAGTATCACATCACGGGCCTGTTAGAGAAAATCTAAAACTATTAAAAATAAACCTTAACAAATAAGTTTTAAGAATAAACTAAACTAAGCAGCATTAAAAACGTATTAAAACTAAAATAGAAACATAAAGCCATACTTTACTTTGTGCTCGCTGAGTCAAATGTTGGCTTGCTGAGCTCTGGTGGCGTAATGATTAGTGTGCACGCGGGATGTGCGGGGTGTATTCTTCCAAGCGGGTGGCCCAGGTTCGAATCCCACCTGTGGCTCCTTTCCTGTGTGTTGTTCCCTACTCTCTCACTCCTTGATTTCTTGACTCTATCCATGTCCTATCTCTCAAATAAAGGCACAAAAAGCCCAAAAATAAATTTAAAAAATGCTGACATGCTGGTCTTAGAAGGGAACATTGTACACACTGTAACCTGATAAACATCGGATCCTGATCAACATAGTCTAGCGGTTATGTTGCGGGCCCCTTGTACAGAGGCTTTAGTCCTTGTTGCGGTGGCCTTGCTGCATGTCATCCCCCCCCAACACACACACACTCTCTCCTCCCACACACACACTCTCTCCAGCATTTCCTGTCTCTCTACAGCTGTCCTTCAATTAAAGGCAAAAGCAACCAAAACAAATATTTAAAAAAATCAATAAAGCCATTTTTAGCAACGTTAGCATCCTGTTATTGTCATTTCACTAAAAGCAGCACAAACCAGTGTACTGACATAAGGGCGGCCATTAAGGAATATTTAGATTACCCTCTTAGGAAAGAGGAAAAATAATTGGATTTTTAGATTGTATAAATTTCAGTTTTAAAAAAAAAAGCCTATTTTATTGATGCTTATACTATGAGTAGTTACGGTACTTTTTAAGTGTTTTTCTACAGTTTACTTTAGTAACTTGTAACACCGAGTACTTCTTCCACACAGAGACAGCCGGACAGTAAAGACAGTTTTGTTTACTGTCTGATGATGCGTGCATCTTGCAGCAGCAATAACAACTTTTATGAATGAACAAATGCAGCACACGGCTTTTAAATCCCCCGACCATAAATACAGGTGAGGGGTAGAGAGGCTGTAAATAGCGCGCTGTTAGGCTGGGACAGTGAAAAGAACACCAATGTGACTAATAAAGATTTATTTACAACATTTTACAGACAGGGGAAATGGAAGTCCTACGTTAAGTACAGCGTTTAGTAAGAAAAACACCGCTGGATTATTTCAAAAAGAGGATAAATATCAGTATCAGAGGGGCTTGTTGACATAGTTTTGATGATTCTAATTGATATTTGCCAATAATTTATGGAGGTGTCTTCCTTTAAATCCATAAGATGTGACACTGTAGTCTTTCTCTATACGTCTTTTTATTCTTGTGCAGGAACATCTCGGCTCCTGTCACTTAAGTTCATACTTTACTTCAGAGTTAAGATCCTCCAGTTTTAAATGTTCCATGTGTTCTCGTCTCTCACTCGTTCAGATGTCCTTGATTTTATACAAACCCTGCACTGCTTTTGTGCATCATGTGCTGTGGGCTTCTGGGTCATTGTACTCCACCTGCTCCCATGAAGACGGTGTTGATGGGGGGAAGTGAAGACACCAGGTCTGTAACTCAGAGGATGAAGGCCCACGCTGCTGGGAGAGCAGTGCATCCTGGGAGGTGAAGGGCGAGGAAACTCCAAACATGCAGGGAGCAGATCCTGACGAGGGGAGGGAATGATCTGAGGAGGCGACAACAGACATGAGAAGGATTTAGGAGCTCTACAGAGGAAAGATGGAACCGACATTTCTTCTGATCTTATTGATTTCAGGGTTTTTTTTTAGCTGCTGTTTTGTCTTTCTTTCAAAGTTCAGAAACTTTAACTCAAGTTAAAATTTCTGAACTTTGAAAGAAAAAGTTAGTTCAGACTAACTTTTTGTGGCCATTTGGGGGCAGCAGAGGTAAGCTGTTAACATATCACATTTAAGTCCCTACATGAGTATCTATCTAACTGTCGTGTCGTTTAGTATTTCTAACTGAAACGGGACAAAAAATCACATATAAAGTCTTAAAGGGACGCTGAATTAAATGTATTTTTAATTTAATTTTAACTTTCTGGAACAATGAGGCCGCTGAGAGGCCGCGGTTGGGCACTAATACCTCGTCTGACACGCTTTCCAAAAGAACACTGTGATACGAAAAAAATAAGTTTGACTTTTCATTAACGAGAAAATATAATCAACTTGTGATAAAGTGCATTAACTCACCCAAGTGACCAGCTATCCCCCTACTTCAATATAATCCCAATATAAGTGATATAATAATCCATCCAAAATATAACACACTACTTACCTTAACCTTAAAAACTTAAATTTATCCATGGCTCCAACACAACACACACTTTAATACCTGTTAAGTTTACGTCTATGATTTGTTCTATGGTTGCAACATATCCTCATTTATCACTCTAAGGACAGAAAAAGCTGACTACTATTGGTTAAAATAAAATATGACTGTTGGAGAGTTTTAGCAACAGACGTACGAGCAAACACATGAACTACATAGTGGAAAATGAATGGAGATCAGGCACAAAAGTACCTGGTTAGGTCTAAAAAAGATCTTGTTCTGGGCTTAAATAAGTCTTAGTTGTATAAAATAAGTAAAGTTCGACACTTTATTATTAAAGTGTTATTTGCTTGGTGTAAGTTACCTGAGTTTGTAAATCTATTCATGCACAGAAGTTAAAATAAGTACATATTGACTTGGGGTTTACAAAGAGAAATAAGTACACTTGGACTCAACACAGACTATAAAATCCTGTAAATCATCTCAGCTGCACGAGTTGAGCCCCTTCAGTGTTGTGTGTTTTTTTCACGCTCACCTGTCCCAGTTTCAGCCTGGGTAAAATAAGCTCCCGTCGTTTTCCTCCCCGGCTCGTCCAGGATGTTGAGCGGATCGTGGACCTCAGAGTAAGCTGACGAAACGGGCGCAGGCTGCTCACCGTGCTGATCACAGACACGTGCTGGTCCACCAGTGATGTCATGCGCTGGCTGTCCAGGTAACCGCTGTTGCCGAAGAAACCTGCCACAGGGAAAAAGTTCAGCACTGAGTTTGTCCTCCCAAATGTCATGATTAGAAGCTGTTAAGGTTAACTTCTTCATGCAAACTCGAGTGGAGGGGGGTTGGAGGAGGAGAGCGGAGGCGTTTAGTGTGGAGCCAGTTTGTTTTGGTTTCATACTGGTGCTCAAGGACGACATCTACTGGATCAAAAGTTGCATTCTTCCTTTAAACTAAGACAGCATGGCATTACCTTTATCTTAAACTGGAATATTCAAGTTCTCACAGTTCTGCAACATTTTAATTTGATCTCTTTGAGTATTTAGTATTTAGAAATATGATGAAAGTTTAAGTTCTTTGGGCATAAATGTCATAAACTGAGCTGTCTTTACCTCCATGTCCCGCTGCAGAGTACGTCTGTCCCTGACATCCCCCGCCTGTGTTGTTCAGTCCAGCCCCCACAAAGCCGAACCCCTCTGCAGAGTCCAGAATCTGAGCCGCTGTCTGTGCGTCCAGTCCCTGTTCAGTCTGAACCGGATCAGAGCCCGTGCTGTACCCCGATGTGGGTCTGACCGCGGTGTTATAAGGGGTGAGGGAGCAGGTGGAGCTGTTGGACGAGTGATGGTGGCTGTAGAAGACGTCTTTATTCAGGTGCTGGTCGTTGAAGGACGGGTACCGAGAGAGATGGTAGGCCAGCGATGAGGCCTGAGACTGAGCTGCAGACAGACACTGAGTCTGAGTCTGAGGCCTGAAACACACAGCCAACAACAGACTTATAAAATTAGATAATTACAACAAAAAAAATTCAATTTCAGCTGAACTAGTAACCCAGTTTTATTTCAAATGTCCAATCAATAAGATATTTACTGAATTAAATCATAAAGTGACCTCACCATATGATCAGACATTAAGGAAACATGCTATGTTGAAGCTTCTCTGATAACAATGCAGCAGCCAGTATGTCCTCCTCCTAACTTTAGATTCTGGTCCTGAATGCTCTGGATTTGTTTGGACCAGATAAAGGTAGGCGCTTTTAAGGCGTCCCCCCCACACGGCCGTTTTGGACGCCCCTCTGTTTGCCAGATATGAGAGCAGTTATCAGGTCAACAGGTGTTGCAGCGATGGAAGCGGGCAAGAGAAGTGGTTCAGATAGAAGTGATTGTACCCGACCTAAAAAGCCTCTGCATGTTTCTAATAAGCTCCACGAGCAGAAACGTGCTCAAACTAGGATCAATATTGGAGATGCTTTTGAAAAATGGAGAGAGGTTAGAACACAGAAAGGTTTACCCATTTTAAACACTAGGTGTCAGAGTTACATATTGCCCCTTTAAGTACTTTTTAAACATGACTAAAGATAAATGCTTCCTTTAGTTTAGAAAAGTCCTACGGTGCCTTTCATATTATTATTATGGCCTCATGCTGCACAGATATTTAGTGAACACATAAACAGTTCATACTTATTTTTTGTGTTCTCAGAAATATTTTTGCGTTTTAAAAAAAGAAGAAAAGATTAACCATTTGAATAAACATGAATGATTATACAAATCGATATTTCACTCCTACTTCAGAATAAGACTCTTTAATAATCTAGAGCCGAGGTTCTCAACTGGTCAAGATTCAGGACCCACCACCAACCCCATCATGATAAATCCCAACCCCAATTTCTGTTTATTTTCAACCAATGAGAATGATTTAATGATTAATTATGCAGTTTGGACCTCAGGCAGTAAAAAACATGTGACAGAAGGTAGTATAATAGAGAGGTGGATGGCACTGCCAGGGCTTTAATAAATCAAGTTAATTACATGAATACTATAGCCGTCATGTGTCAGTAAACATGTTGTAGATAAAGAGAACTTCATGAAGCCGACCTGAGAGCACTCTGGTAGTTGGAGGCCGAGGAGCTGCTGACAGGAGGGAAGTAACTGGAGCTGGTCTGAGGTAAGCAGTGATACAGGGTCTCCGGGTAAGAAGAGCAGGGGCTTGGCTGGGTCATGGCACTGAGCGAAGACAGGCAGGAGGAAGAGGCGGAGGAGCAGGTGGAGGACGAAGACGTAGACGTCAGGGGTCTCCCTGTCATGGGCCCCTGGTTGATGACGGAGCCTCGGTGCACTAACGCTGCCGGAGAGATGGGGGGCGTCATGAGGGGGCCGCTCACCTGAGAGAAGTCCATCTGCACACCTGTGTGTATAATAACAGGCTTGTTTCAGGTCAAGTTAAACAATGTCCACAGGGGGGCGCCAAAATGGACACAAACTAAACGTTCCTAACAGGAGCTTTAAATGTATGAAATTCATAAAAAAGCACTTTTCTTGATACTCTGGTGACATTTTCAAATTGAAAATAATGAGATGTATCTTTCCCCGTCGCTTGCTACAGGCATGAAAGGACAATAAATGTCAGGGGCCTAATAAGACAACACACAGTTGTAAAATTTGAGCAACAACAAACATCATTTCGCCGTTACCCCGCAAGACTTACACGTCCTTACACTACTCTGCTCTTACAAAAACATGGAGCTCTAAACTTGATGATGAGCCTTTTTCTGTTTGTTGTGGCAACACAGAAACATTCAAACCAATGTTTTCACATCTGGTTTGAAAGAAGTCGATGTAGGTGGCAGTTTGTGTCACCTACCTCACAGGAAGCAACAAAATTTAATGGAAATTTAAGATCATCAAGATGAAATAAGCACATCCAACATGCTGTCTGTGAGGCCAGTTATAAAGATGTGTACATTATAGTTAATCATTTCTAAAACCAAAATAAACATATTAGTGTATTTAAGTTGTAAAGGCGGTGAAAGGGTTAATAAAAAATATTTAAAGATATTAATGTTTCATTAGATTCTTTTACCTGAAACTGTAAACCCTGCAGGTTCCGCCCCCTGGTAAATGACAGTGTTGGTTTCCAGACTTTGGTGCTGCTGATTGGTTGACAGAGACATGTAGGCGTGGCCTCCCAGGGACTCGTTCTTCACCGATTGGTCGACGGCAACACTGGCTTTGTTACGATTGGCTAGAAAGCAGGAGCTAGGAGAAGCCATGAACGCGGCTTTACTGGCATCTGGAAGAGACACAAAAAAAAAAATCAGAAAACAAGGGAAGAGCATTTTTTTTTACCAGAATCCCACTGTGACATCACAAGGAGAGCACATTTGAAACAGAGCATTTTTGTCTGTGTTGTAAGACTTATGCAGACCACAAACAAAGGACTGGATGGGTTTATTTCACATTTTGTGGGTCAGTAGAAACTCAGGTTACCCAAATATATGTTCAAAAACACAGTCAAAGGGGATTTTTCATAATATGTCCCCTTTAAATCAGTTCTCCCCCGGTGTTTGTAAACTAGGACATGGACAGTAGTTGAATTAACCGAGCTGTATCTGTAGCTCGACTTATCCGTGTATGTAAACGCTCTGGCTGTGTCAGTGTGGTTTCAGATGTTTTGATGTTTAATAACCTGCGTTTTTCATGTATTTGTCCAGCAGGTTCCGCAGGGCCTGCTCCTTGTCGTTGTTGAACTGAGTCTCCAGAGCGAGCAGGATGTACTCGTCCAGCAGCATCCTGATCAGGTGGAAGGAACCTGCAGGATTCAGAATGTACACAAAGAGAAAGAGGTGGTCATAAAAACACTGCGGTAGACTTTTGACTACCTGATTCCAGCTGAGCTCACAGCTTTATCTCCTGTTTGACCTTTAGGCTCAAGCTGCTCTTTGTTTGACCTGCAGGGTTACAGGTTCAACCCTTCTGTGTGTGTGTTTGAGCTTCAGTCAGAGTTCAGAGACACCAAATGGTTTGTGTTTATTCACGTACACAAACTGAGCGTGCGAGTGTTTGAACAGAGAGCACGCGACCCGAGAGATAAGACTGTGTTTAATCAAGGCGAGTCCGGCCATTATGATTTATGGCGCTATTGTAGCAATCTGCTCCAAGCTGGTATTAGCCTTGTGTGTAAGTGTGTGTGTGTGTGTGTGTGTGTGTGTGTGTGTGTGTGTGTGTGTGTGTGTGGCTTCATGATGGATAAAAGGAGCACAGAATTAATAAGCTGAGTCCAACATGACACATTTATATTAAAAAGACAAAAAGGTTTGGCATTACAACTTCTTATTTTATCGCCCGTCAACCATAAAAATTGTTCTCTCTTTAGAGTTCACTCTTTTCATTTTGGAGAGTCAACAAAATAACATTTTTTTCCACAGTACCATAAACATACACATTCACATACCGTGTTTGATGTTTTTTGAAACCCAAGTTTCGTAAAAGGTTTTCAAACCTAAATATCAAACATGTTTGAAATAAATCAGGGCGTCTCCTACGATCTCTGAGTAGATGGGGGGACTTTAAGGTTGGAGCTTCACACGACTCACACTACAAGATCATATGGTAAAATAAGCAGCCCTTGAGTCGGGAATGACCCAGCGATTGTCGGGAAGGAATCGGACCTCAAATCAGCTGATTTATCCTGCAGTCTGAGCCAGGCTAAATAAGTGTTTTTCCAGAGTTAGGACGGAGCATCTGTTAATTCATTTCAAAGCATCAATCAAAATAACCTACTACTGAGAAATATCAAGTTTTCTTCAGTAGAAATTAATCCTGAATTTTATCCTTTGACATAAAAAAAGACCCAATTTATTTTAACTTAAAGTTTCTGCTTGTCGAGATTTTGAACTTTTTTTGCGACCAGCAGTGTCGCCCCCTGCTGGTTTGGAGAAAGAATGCAGGTTTAAAGTACTCAACTTTTTTATCCTATCCAATCACATCTCTACATGTGTTACAATTCTAGCTAGGGCCCGAAATGTCAAATGTGCTAAAGAGTTCTTACCGAAGCTGGAGGCGTTGTTGAGCGTGAGGTTGTGCATCACTCTGGCCCCGAAAAAACTCCACCTGAGGAGGAAATCCTGAGCTCGCTTCTTCACCGACCGACCGCTCTGCTTACCGGGCTGATCGCAGGCAAAAACATGCTTCCATTAACAACATGACTGAGCAGTTATTTCACATAAACATGTTCACACACGGGGGGGCCAGGTGAGCAGCCGTTACCTTGATGACTTTATGCTCCACCACAGAGTCCAACCACTCGATGAAGGACTCCACTGTGGCGTTCTTCCTCAGCAGCTCCTTCAGCTCCTGAAAGACGCTGATGGAATCATCTGGAAGGAAAAGGAAGAGATTATCAATAAAAACAGTCTTCAATCTTAAAAACAGCTGCTTTCTGTTTCCTTCATTAAGTCAAAAAACGTATTAAATGCGTCTTTTCAGAAACAAATCGTCGACGTATCATTGAATTTTTTTAAACTTTTATCATAAATCTTGCTTTCATATGGATGAAAATATTTAAAGATTACACTCTGAGTAGATGTCCGGGTCTTGGTCTGCCGTTGTGTTCACACTGAGCAGAGGCTGAGAGCTGATGCTGCTGAGATCCACGTTGTCGATGTCCGACACCATGCTGGTCACGACGGCCTGGTCGAACAGCGCTGGACGAGCTATCTGGAGAAAGTTTGGAGCGCGATAGCGAACATAAGTATACCGTCATTTACTGCATCTACCTTATTGTGTTTCCCTGTGTCGTGTCTCACCTGTGCCAGGTGTAAGAACGAGGTCTGCCTCTTCAGGGAGGACACAAAGTGGCGTGCGATTGGCAGTTTCTTGGCTGCAAGGCATTCTGGGAGGTTCTCCAGGGAGGAGGCTAGCCAGTGCTCCCAGTGTTTGGCAAAGTTGCGGATATCTGCCAACAGACTGATGAACAGAATGTAAACAATTCAATCAATCAATCAAATATTCATTCTAGAAAAACCTGATTCAGCTCAACAGTGTTTGGAGACATGCAGAGAGCGCTGATTCAAACAAGCTCCTTCCTGGTTTGTGACGCCCTCCTTTCATTTCTGCAGATTCATGCTTCATCTCTTTGTAATTTTAAAATAAATTTGTTCTTTTGCCCTTAAACTTTAGCTATGACACTTTTGAAACAGGGGGCCTAGGGCGTCAGATAGCCTAGCGTTTATGTTGCACGCCCCATGTATGGAGGCTATAGTCCTCATTGCAGCAGTCAAGGGTTCGAATCCAACCTCGGCCCTTTGCTGCATGTCATCCCCCCACTCTCTACTCCCAACATTTCCAGTCTCTCTTCAGCTGTCCTATCTAATAAAAGGCTCAAAGGCCCAAAACATATTTATCAAGAAAAGATGCTAGGGGCGCTGATGGCCGAGCAGTTCGGTCTTCCCATGTAGGGAGACTACATTCCTCAGAGCAGGAACAGGTTCAAGTCCGACCTGCAGCTCCTTTCCCTCATGTCATTCCCCTCTCTCTCCTGATTTCCTACACTATCCAACGGGTACTATCGAAAATAAATGCAAACATCGTAAAAAAAAAAAAAAAACGGAAATAGGGGAGCTAAAGCTTTCTATCCATTCAAATATATTCTTTCTTTGTGTTTCATGTGGTTTTAGAGGAAATGTGCTTCTCAATCTTAAGAACCAGCAACATGCACACAATCAGTGTCACAAAGAGTTTCAGAGACTGTCCTAACTAAGGGTTTGTTTCGACATCAAGAACATTCAAATTATTTTTTTTGTCCCTAAATGAAGTCAAGCTGAAGTAACGAACCTTTCAGGCATCTCTTGCATCGTAGCAGGAATCAGGACATCTGTTAAAACCTGAGAAAGAAGAAACACGTGAGAGGTTTCAAGCTTCCCCATCATCACAAACGAAACAGTAAAAATAAAGTTTGTATCATTTTTTTCTCTTCGTTTGACACAAAACAGGAACTTGAGATATAAAGGTTAACTTTAGACACTTTTGGACATGCAAGCTTCTTCTGTAAGTCTGTTCAAATTAATCATTATTTGCAAAGCACCAACTCATAACAAAACATGAAGGAAGGATTTCTCCTTTGCATTCCTCGCGTTCCTGTTGTCCACGCTTCCTTACTCACTGAGGTGGAGGTCGGAGCAGGCCGTGCATGAACGAGGACGGCGGTTGGTGGTTGTGGGGACGACTCAGTCCGATTCAAATGAACATGGGAATGTCATATTCACCTTATAGAGAATGGAGTCGCAGACACAGAAGATGTCGACTATCACGGGGTTCTCCAGCAGCGGCAGCAGGTGGTCGGGCATCCCCTGCCAGAAATGGAGCAGAAAATTCTGGATCTGAAAACACAAAGAGAAACATGTCAGATGGACTCACTCTCTTCTCAGATTAAAATGAATAAAAGATTTTAAAAAAAGATTAAAAAAGAATAAAATGATCAAATCAGAGAGTGATGATCACCTCCTCAAAGTTGACGTTGATGGCGTTGTCCAGGATGCACTGACAGTGTGTTTTATACATCATGATCAGAGTGTCCACCTGCAAACACAACATGGAAATCAAAGATGAAATATATAATAAGTATTGGATTAGAAGAGTTTTGTTTGCGAGCAGAGAGTCGTCTCTCAAAGCAGAAACTAGTCAGCTTATTCTTCTCTCATCAATAAATACAGAATATTCTTCATACTGTGGTGTCAGCTTTAGTTTGAGACCGACCTTCTCTCTGGAGATGTTTCCCTCCAGCAGAAGGTGCTGAGCGTTGGGGAAGTCTGGCAGCAAAGTCCCAGTTTTAGAGCTCAGAGAGTACTTCCTGGTGAAACCTCCCTGAAACATGAAGCAGCGTCACCGATATCAGAAAACTGGGTTTATTTCTACAGAACATTTCAGCAACAAGGCTTTACACAAGACATTAAATGCATCATGCAACCATCAAGAGAGATAAAATAAAACATTTAGGGGCACCGGCAGCCTACTGGTTAGTGTGCGCTCCCCCTGTACGGAGGCTACAGTCCTCCAAGCGGGCAGCTCGGGTTCAAATTCGACCTGCGGCTACTTTTTCCGCACATGTCACTCCAACTCTCTCTCTTTCTTTCGAGCTCTCTTAAGGCCTAAGATGCTTAAGATTTCAACATCGATTTTTACAAGGATCTAAGTCCTAACTTTAACTTTAAAAAATGTCCTGATTCTAATCATTCTCACAAGGAGCAACTCTTAATATTTAGGAGGGTTTGTGAATACGGCCACAGGACCTAAAGCCTTAACAAACATTATTTAATATATTTATTTATTTATATTTTATTTGATAATGACAGAAACAAGACACGAAGACAAACTGAAAACAGCAATCCAAAGCAAATATCAACTTTGTGTTTGTAGTGCATTCTAATTTGCAACACTCGTCCTTAGAAGAGGTTTTGTGTATATATAAGATAAAACAGTAACCCACCACCTTTGATGGAGGTGGGCTTTATTCTCAACTAATGTTTCCTCTCTAAGAAGTTAGCAGGAGAACCAATTCAACCAGGGAGGGAAACAATCAGCTGCTGTCCTCTTTTAGATACAGTTGATCATTCTCACTAACCTCGTTCTTTAGCTTGCTTCCTGAAAACCTGTGAACAATAAGAAACAAGAGGTGTGACTGGATGTTGATGAAAACTCACACCGCCTTTATTCCCCTCCAAAAACAAATGATCAACGGACCAATCAGTGTGGAGCGTTGAATGTTTGTTACCTGGTCAAACCTTTTCCAGAGTACACCGAGTGATAGTAAGCGCTGCTCTCTTTGATGCCAATTCCGTAGTAGTGATACCTGAACGATAATATCCACAATAGAGTGTCAGGCTACTTTTTTAAGATCCAACTTCATTGTCGATTTTCAGCAAAAAAAAATCTAAACATACGAGAAGAAAGATCTTACTTGGAGTGTCCTCGGGTGCCCAGCCTTCTTGTTGTCAGAAGAGGAAACTTCTGTCGTATCGTCTAAAGAGACACAGAGGTACAGAAACAAGTTATCGTTTGTTAAATCAAAACTTTCTCCACTGGAAGGGGACCATTAGTGTATCAAAACCTCTCCACTGAAGAACGTCTTAAAGGATCATCATCATGTTTTCTCCACACAGAGAGGGCGCTGAGTAACATTTGTCTTTGTAAACAGTCGAGCACACCTTTCCGAATGTGGCGGCGCAGGCCGGCTCCAGTTTCTCCTTCCTGCAGAAGTCCAGATAGTGAGCGTAGAGGATACACCGAGGCAGACACACTCCTTCACACACGATGTAGTTCTCCTCCAGCCTGGTGAGAGAACGAAGATCACTCATGGACTCATCACAACAATGCACGAGATAATCAGAGGATGCAGTACATGTAGATTCTTTGATAAATTTCCCTTCAAGACAAAGTCATTTTGGTATTTTTAAGGTAAATTGCAAACAAAATATGTATAAATAATCTAGCAAATGGACATAATCTTCTTAACACTAAAACCAAAACACACAATTATGAAGGAGTTTAAAATATCCGACTAGTTGCAAACATTTGTAGAAGGTCCGAAAATAAAGTTGAGTAGTAACTTTGGCAGCACACTGATTAGTTATACTATTTTGTTAGTATTTGCTGAGTCTGGAAATCTATTAAAACTGCTTTAAGGTAAAAAAAAATGACCTCCAGATTTTGGTTTGTGAGTTTTTATTGTCATTATGACCCATAAAAGTTAAAACATTCCTTTGATCGTCCCAGTGCTTCTTTAAACGCTGGATAACATCCTGCAGAGGATTTACATATTTGAGGTACTTGAATCTTTTTTATCATCTGGAACTTTAAATGTTTATGTACTCGGCTACATCAGGACATCTCTGGGGGTGATACTGGGGAGAGAGAGTGGGAATGACATGCAGGAAAGAAGGCGTGTGTCGTACTTGAACTCGGGTCACCTGCTTGGAGGACTGTAGCCTCTGCATACGGGGCACGACCTACCCGCTAGGCCACTAATGCCCCCCATATACTTGACTGAGTCCTCTTACCACTGCAGAGTGAGCTGTGTTTGTTTCTTCTTGTCCTTGATGATCTGACTGATGGTCTTCCTGGACGACGAGATGCTCTCTGCGATGGTCAGGTCGGGGTTAAAGTCCACCAGGTCCTGGTCTTCCTCAGAGGACGGCGTCTCGTTACTGTCCTCTGCCTCTGAGAGAACACATTAACACAGCCTTAGACAGCGGCTCATGCCCTGGATTACACATCAGTGTTTTCTGGCTCCAGAAAATAACAAAGAATAATGATTGTGGTCAAAGTGAGATATAAGAAAAGCATAAAAGGGCACAAATCTGACTGTTTTCTGTTGGAAAAAACACATATCAAGTGTTTTTTATTATTTGAGTGCATCCAGACTTTAAAGGCTTAATATGTGACTTTCAGAGCTGATTTTTTCGGATCATAACAGATGCTCTCTTCATGTAATTACAGCCCACAAATGTAATTAACCACATTTGTTACACAGATCTGCACTTTTTAATGCCATAATCCCACTAACATAATAGCAATTGCCGACCATAAACATAATAGATCCTTTTTTTCTCAACTTTCAAGCATACTTGCACCAATTTTTTCATCTTTTTCTGACAATATGTTGATATGGGATTTTAGCTGTTTTCACTTTTAACATTTTTAATTGTTCTTACATTGACAATGATTAGAATTGACAATTTTTAAAGAATTCCCCCCTTAAAGTTAGGACTAGATCCTTTCATTGTATTTTCTTGCCTTTTAACTGCATGTACTTCCTGTTTTATTCTTACTGTTCTCTTGTTGTATCTGTATTGCCTCTTTTTGTACCTCGGCACCGTTGCAAATGAGGGTTCTCCCTCAATTTGTTTTCCGAGGATTTAAATAAAATAAATGATGATGAGGAGGATTTAACAATATTTTTGTGAGATCGAAGTTTAGCTCAGTGGTTTTTGGTTTAAGCATTTAGGCCACATTTACAGAGTTCATATCCTCGTCAACCTCGCGTTGAGACATTTGGAGAAAGTTTAGTGGAATTTTTTTCAGATTGTGGAAAAAAAATCACATTTTAAAGTTGAATATTTTTAAATAATTTCTTTGAAGAAGATCACATTGCTATAATAATAACACTCCTTTATGTCTATAATAAATATGATTAATATGAGATATTCAACACACTTCAAGTCAAGAACATGTTATATGTATTTCTTCCTTTGGGTGCATCATCAGGTGGAGGCCAAAGAAATGATGAATAATTTGTTGTAGCACCATCATGTGGTCAACTTGTGTAACTGTTTTTACCTGAGAAGATTTAAAATCTAACACATTCAGATTAAAAGTCATGAAAATAGTATTTTAGGAAAACAAGATAAGAAATAAGAAATAAAACAAGATGTAAAGTGGAACAATAACGATGTGTAAATTTTTGAGCATTAGTTTTCCATTACCTGATTTAATCCCAGAATCATCCTCCAGATGAAAGTGCGTCTGTTTGTTAAAGTTTGCGTGCGTTTCCTCAGGTGAGCTGCACAAAGTCTTCGTGAGAGAGTGAATAAGAAACACTCCGTCTCTGGCTGGATTCTCACTGCAGCTGCGTTTCATCGGCATGGTCGCCTCAAATAAACGATGATTAAATGATCATCAAAAGAAGAAAAAAGCGAAGAAAAAGAAATCTGGAGTCCGCCTGTGGTGAAGAAAAAAAACAAATCCACTGCAGCTCATTTCATCCTAAAGGCTGAGAATAAGATCTGCGCACAATCTTTTAAACACTTTTTGTCATCCTTTTCAAACAACTCCATGAGAGATACTAAAGATCAACATGTCTGGATTGTTTCGTCCAAAAACTGATCAGAAAATACAGAAAGCTGGAAAACAAAAAGCCCTTCTGGTAAACCTGTGGATAGATCTCTCAGAGAGAGTGCTGTGTGAAGGCAGAGCTAATGAAGCTGTGGATGCATTCATCATATTTACAGAAGACTGGGGCTAATCCAGGTTATTAATGATTAACAGAAAAACCCTCATCCATCTGTCCATCCATCCATCCTGCCTCCCACAGTCAGCCGGCCCTTTACACAAAGATATAAGCATAAAAAAAACATCAAAAATGAAGGCAGAATCATCCTGCGAATACATTTCAAATAGTTAGGAACCTTATGTTCGCTTTAGTTTATGGGTTTTTAAACTTGGTTGCTTACATACAGAATAAGAAAATAAGATTTACCTTCAATTTAAGATTAATTTTCAGGAGGAGAATTCATCTTTGATCATGTTTTTAGTAAATAAATTTAATGTTTTGTTTCAGTATGACAGAAAAAAGTGAAAGGGAGCAGATTTCCTAATAAACAGCTGGAATAAAATTAGACCAGTTGTCTTTGGGAGCGCTGATAGCCTAGTGGTTATGACGTACGTCCCATGTACAGAGGCTACAGAGGCTCAAATTCGACCTCGGGCCCTTTGCTGGATGTCACCCCCCAACTCTCTCCTCCCAACATTTCCAATCAAAGCAAAAAAGGCCCCAATATATATAAATATATATATATATATATATATATATATATATATATATATATATATATATATATATAAAACAACTATTGTCTTTTAGCTTGATTGCTGGTTTAAATATGTTAGTTGACTGATTATCAAACTATTTGCAGATGAATCGTTTGTTTTTCTTTAAGTCATTTAATTGACTTGTTGTTTCAGCACTTAGCCTACTCATCAATTGATTGAATGATAGATAATAATAAAAAACAGTAATTGGTTAATGGTCAAGCCAAAAGAAGTCCAGAATTTATTTTTCAAACTTTTTCAATGCAAGCTTTGGTGAAAACACAAATACACATTTTTCCGTCATTTTTAAACATTTTACCCATTTTCTTAAAACTTAAGATAGAGAAAATTATTATCCTATTCCAGAAAGTCGTCTATAATCATCAGATCAATAGGCTAAACGATGAAAGTAATCATTATTTGCAGCCATATTTAACACGAAATAACGCTAAATAACATGTCTAAACACATTTGAAGGATTCATATGTTGAAATACTGTATTGAATTAGTAATTTTAGCATTACTTAAATTAATTACAACAGCCTATAATGTAAATTTAATGTTTATTTGATTTCTAGCTCTGTCTGAGATAAATATTAAAGTAAGTTAGTGTGGATGGATGCATTATTTTTAAGGTTTTAAATATTTATAATGAACCAAGATAATCTCTGACCTTTACGTTCATGGAGACAACGCCGGTGTATCGGTCTGACAAGTTACCGTGTTAACTGGTGACTTCATCTGTTGATGTCATGGTTACGAACCTTGTTGGAAACGGAAAGCGCCACTTTGTTTAGCTTTTCATTAAAGAAATGTCGGCTCAGTTACTTTTTAATTTAAATAAATAAATAAAGATTAATTGGGTAAGATTTTTTTTTTGTTGCTCAACAGCTGCTGTGTTTTTTAAATATACAGTCTAGTGTTGTAACTATGACAACCACGACGCACTCGGTAGAAAGTCAACACGGCCACGAGTTGAAACATAACACCGGAAGTCAGAAGGAAGTCAGACACGTGTAGCCGGTCGCCGCCGCCACTCGACGTGTCGGACACCTGAGGAGGTTCAAAAAGGGAAGAGACAGGTAACTGAAGTGTGCAACATGTCACCTGCGAACTGAGGGGTCAAGTTACTCACGAGAATGTGACATTTATCAGCCATTGAACGGGCGGCTGACAGACGTGACGGACGACCGTTAACGATACAATTAGCTTCATGCTAGCATGTTGCTAGGGTTACTGCCACTGCTCCAGGCTGAAAGTCAATGTTACACCTCTGCAAAATAATGTTTTAAATGTGTCCTGAATATATGTCGAGATTAATTGTGAGGCTCTAAATGTGGTTAAGTGTTGTTAATAAAGATGTGTGTTGTTCTTAGTCGGCTAAATCGCTTAAATAGAAAAATCTAATTATTTGTGTTGAGTTATTTTCACACATTTTAATGAGCCAGTTTACCAGGATGACTGATATTATATCTATCTATTCATATTTTGGATTTTAATTAATAATACTTTTTTCTGTATTACCAAGGGGAGACTTTATTGTAAGGTAACAGGGTTTATTGATGAGGCATAATGCTGCTGCTCTTCACAATGAGCCTCCAATAACAATTAATATTATTAAATCAAAGTGATTAAATAATGGAAAGTTAAATTAAGATTTTTAAAGACCCCAAAATATTTGTTACAGTATTAATAAAATCTCATATGTTGCCTTCAGGTGCTCCTGGGAAATGTCATATCTCCCAGTTGAGCTATTCATTTTATCACAATATTTAAAAATGGTAAATACGATATTTCCGAGAAGCACATGCCCAGCCCTCTACATAGTAGGGCTGGGCAATATATCGAGTTTTTAAGATATATATCGATATATTTTCAAACAAGATATAGGGTAAGACGATATCGTTAATATTGATATAGTTTATGTTGCATTAAAATAACGTTACAGAGGTGCCAGGTCACCTTTGTCTCATCTCACTGATGATGACTGACTGTCTGTCCCTCTTAACCCTGCTCCTCCTCTCTCTCTCTTTTATTGTATTTAAGGAACATTTTTATTTTATAATATTACTTTTTAAATTCAAAGACAGGTAGTTTATTTTTTATGTGTTTTCACTGTTAATAAAATACATATTGATATATATTGAGTATCGCCAATCAGCTAAACAATATCGAGATATGAGTTTTGGTCCACAAGGCCCAGCCATACTACGTAGCCAGTACGAGTTTAATAATGCATTAAACAAGCCAATTGTTATTTTTGTCCTGATTACGGTTGTGTGTTGTACGCAAAATACCTAAATTATATTTAACATTTTAAAACATTATTGTGTTGGTACAGAAAAGACAATTGTCAGATATTCAGACCATTTTTATATAACTGTGCTGAGTGTATGTGGTTAACACAAGTGTTCTTCATGCAAAGACAGGCCGATGACTGGCTGTAATTATGCTCAGTTTGTTTATCATCTTTCAGGTTATTTGATATTATTATCTTCACTAGACCCCAAGTATTTGCTGTCACTAAAATGTTGGTACCGCATGAAGTAAGGGCAGTTCTTTTTTATGGGCCCAAATCAGATATTTTAATAAAGACCCCAATGTTTATTTGAAATGCTTTCTCCTCCATTGAATAAGAATGTACTTCAGAAAAAAATCACATTGTTACATTTTGATTTAGATCAGCATTACCTAGTTAAGGTGCTATGGGCTTGCTGTATACTGACCTCAGAGCTGATTTTGCATTCCTTAGTTATTATTTCACACATTTTCCCCTCAGGTTTTGTGTAGGATGTGACAGTCATTGAAGCTGCTGCCATGCAGTCTTTAGGCTCCGAGCATCAAAAGTAAGTAAAACAATGTAAATGTAAAGTGCTGCTTTTGTGTACTTTCTTAAACTTTAATGTATTGCATTTGTTTGTTTTTTTAATTTTTCTGTCCATGTTTCAGAGATTGGGTTTGAAGTTTACAGCAATTTGTTTAATTTATTCTATTTATTTATTTAGAAACTGGCATGGAGCTTATAGTGTGGCTGTGTCTGAAGTAGGGATGGGGATTATTAATTATTAGTGAAATCAATAACCTTATCGTTACTCCTGAACGATCCGAGTCTTTATATATTCCACTATGGATACTTTTATATTTTTAGTGCAAAGATGAGACGGCAATTTGTTTTTAACGAAAAGTTATTTTATATTGCTAGGAAAACAAATGATCCTCCAACAAATTACTTTATTAACTTTGGCCTAATATTCATTTTACTGACCCGACCTTGAACACATTATAATGTTACATTATGTCACCCTTGTTTTTTAGCTATCTAGCTTTTATCTTGCTAATTTCAACATGATTTTCAACATTGATTTACTATTTTCAAATCACAGGACTTGCTACAAAGTTTGGGTACGCTTTAGAGGTGTGACTTTTAAATGTCTAGAAAAACATTAAACGTTTAGAAAAATTGACAACCATTTAAAGGTTAATTCGTTTTTTTTGTTGTTTGCATGTCACTGCACAAAGCACAGAGCAAAGTAGCTGTCATACTCTGTGTTGTTCTCCAATGTGCGGCTGCGGACTCGCCTGTGGACTCGACCGCGCATTTATTTAATTTTTTATTTATTGCTGTGTCTGATTAAAATAAGCTGTAAAGTCAGAAAAGTGGCTGTCATGTTGTGTTTTTCCTGATGTGCAGACGCGGACTCAACTGCGCGTCCCTTTTTTTCTCTCTCTCTCGCTCTCTCTCGTCCGCCTGTTTGTCAACTGAGCACGCTTCATCATAACATAAAGCGTGCATATGTTGTATAAAGACGTTATGTACAAGAGGTAATCGTGCTTAGGCACAGATAGTCCTGTGTAGTGTGACCGCGGGCCGTGCCGGCCAGCGTGGGAAAGGCGCTGCGGGGGGGGGGGGCAATCGTGCTTGGGTACAGCACGGTACAGATGGCCAGTGTGACCGCGCCCTTACAAGAGGGCTGTACGGACAGCGGACCTTATCACTCCCTCTCTCTATGCTGATGTGATTCTGCATTCTGTGTCTTCAAGGGCCATGGGGTCCTTGCACGCATCTGCACTGCTCGCGCGCTCTCGCTCAGTGATTTGGTATTAAAGACGTGACTTGACTGGACTTATGTTTTGTTAAAAGACCCATGAGACTCAATAGCAGTATCGATAAGTTTAAGTATTATTTATTTTCAGGTTTTGAAAACTTCAGAACCAGGTCCTTATGGGAATAGGTTTTGATCCCTATCCCTAGTCTGAAGCAGGCCTACTGTATAGCTATGTTTTATTTACCCATTTTCTTTTAATGTTAATTTCTGACTGAAATTCATGCATTACAAAACCCCCACTAAAGAGCAGAAAATTTAGATGTGGTGTGTATTCCAACATTGCATTGCATCATGTATGAAAGTCAATGAATGAGGAAGTTGTTGGGACACAGAACACCCTTCACATTGTGCTCCAAGCTCGACTCTAGGTGTTGTAGTTGATGGCCCCTGATGCTTAAATGTATAAAGTCATAAACTCACCAAATTATTCTAACTTTTGAAGGTCAGTAATTTGTTTTGCTTAAATTTGCAGGTCTCTCAATTCTGGTCAATCTGCACCATGTGCTCTTTGGCCAGTGGACCTGAAGTTAACTCACTTGGACTGGAACGCTGAAGCAACCCTGATACACTTCCAGGGACAGTACCTTACCATATGTGAACTTGACTATACTATCTTGCAAGGAGAAATACAGAATACACCAAAGAATAAAACTGCTGTGGATATTGGAGAGTTCTGCCTCGTAGAAGATTTGACTTCAGCTCGGTGGTACAGAGGAAGAGTTCAGAACCGGAAAGAGGACTTGTTCGATGTGTTCCTGATAGATCATGGTAATGTCTTGAGTGTAAATATTGACCACATATCTTCCTGTTCAAGTGAGTTGTTCATCCTTCCTCCCAAGATAGTGTGTGGCTTCCTTGCAAATGTACTTCTACTTAAAGGTTCTTGCTCTGTGATTGATGAGTACCTGGCAAACCTGATTGGACAAAGTGTCACAGGGTACATTCAAGCCCTGCTTCCTCACAAAGTGCTATTGTTAGAAGCTTCTGACATCAACAACAACATAGTTAGACATGGGCTTGGGAGGCATGTGGACACAGAAACTTTCCTCCTGTTGGTTGAGATGCTCACAGAAGTACAACTCAAACAAAACATTGAGCCAGTTCCTGATTTACTCATTGAAAAGCCAAGAGGACAAGAATTCAGCTTTAAACCATCTGGCTTGCGAGGGCACGAACAAATTCTGTCATTCTGTGGACCTAGATTACCTTGTGGGACAAGAGCTAAAGTGCGAGTGACTGCTGCTGTGAAACCTGGGCTGTTTTACTGTCAGATGGTTAGTAAGGAAACAGAACTATGGGAGATGTCAAGAAAGCTGGCTGAAGTTTGTGAGTACACAACAAAAGAACACACTCAGAAGACACCAGAAAACCTGGGCTTACTGTGCTCCATAAAGGGGAAAGACGGGAGATGGTACAGAGGCTTTGTGCAATATCTTCCAGTCAACTCTCAAGTTAGAGTTTTGTTTATTGACTATGGATTTTTAGAATCGGTCAAAGTTGAAAACGTCCACAAGTTGCCATCAGGTATTTATTCAACACCAATCATGGCGTTCCCATGCTCACTTTCATGTCTAAGCGACCAGGATGAGGCGCTTAAAACTCAACAGTTGAGTTTTCTCAAGGCTGGCTTGCTTGGAAAGGTGTTGGACGTGGACATCAGAGGCTTTGATGAAGATAGGCTTCTGTACCCTATCACAGTGATTGGTGCTGAAGATAATCGAGTGAAGAAACCAGAGATCATTCAAGAGATTCCTGCAATGAAGATTGAGTCAGTTTTTGAAAGGGAGGAGTTGTCACTCAGAGTAGCCATTTAAACTATGAGACAATCGTGAGCAAAACTTTAAATGAAACACTGGAAGAAGAGGAGCTGCAAGTAAACTCTGTCTTTGTTGGCTACGTCGAGCATGTCCAAAATCCAAGCAATTTCTGGATCAGAACACAAAAACGCAATGATGAGTTTGAGGAGATGATGGCAAAAATGTCAGATCACTTCGATCAAGTGAAGCTGGATGAAGATGTACTGTTGAATCCTGAGCTGGGGACAATGTGCTGTGCAGTTTATGAGGAAGACATGCATTTCTACAGAGGTGTAGTGACAGACACTCTTGAGCATGGAGCTGAGGTTCTGTTCATTGACTTTGGCAACATTGAGAAAGTGCCACACATGTTGATCAAAAAGATACCCGAGACATTTGCCAGCAAGTCAGCGTTCGCCATTTGTTGTTCACTTGTTAATGTTATTCCTTTGGATGAAGTATGGACCAATGCCACCTCTTGCTTTTTCAAACGAGCTGTGTCCAACAAAGCCTTGCTAGTCCATGTTGTCGAGGTGAAAAAAAACAAATTTGTAGTGGATCTCAAAGAGATGGGAGTGAAAACAATCAGAGCATCACTGAGCTTCTGATCTCCTCAAATCAAGCAGAATTCTGGAACAACATTACCATAGAGCCTGTAGCGCAAAAAAATACAGAAAAGACAAGATGCCCAGAATATGGTGTGACATCAGACGTCAATGAATGTAACGAGCAATGGGAGGATTGTGAAGACGAAGAGAAAAAAAGCACAAAGGAAACCGACAAGGTCCAAACCCCTGCTAGTTTCAAAGCATTAACTATCACACCAGGGTGTGATTTCGCTGTGCGGTGCATTTCCATCAGTTCTCCATCAGAGTTCTGGTGCCAGCCTCTTGACAAAGCTCAAGAGTTGGAGGAACTGATGGCTAAAGTTCAGCATTATTACTCAACTAAACGAGTCCCCTTACGATCAGGAGATTCGTGTTGTGTTGCTGTGTCACCTAAAGATAAGAGAGGTTACAGGGCCTTTGTCATAGAACAAATGAATCAGCATGTCAAAGTGATGCTGGTTGACTTTGGCAACACCATAATGATAAATGAGCACAACCTGCAAGCTATAATGCCAGAATTTCTTAATTTGGAGGGACTAGCTTTCAGATGCAGCCTTTACAATGGGATTGAACCTGCTGCTCACAAGAACTCAGGGTATTGGACTCCAGAGGTACTTAACACGATGACCGATTTTGTCCTTAACAGCGCCGGTGCCCTAAGATGCAAAGTTGTCTCACAGTTGAATATCAAAGACAAAGGGTTGTGCAATGTTGTTGATCTCCACAATGCCCAGTCCAAACAGAGCATAACGAAACTGCTTGTGGAACAAGGCATGGCAACAGAGGCGGCAATCTCAACAAAGCAAATGTCAACAGTGTTCCCTGAGTCTTTTACCTACTCTTCATACGATCTGACTCCTGGAAAGGAAGAACATGTCTTCATCACTCATGTGAGCAGTCATTGTGAGCTCTACTGCCACCTTGAGAGAAACACGGAAGTAATTGAACTGCTTGAAACTAAAATCTCTGAGGAGAGTGAGAAAATGATACAAGCCAGTACAAAAGCTGTCGTGAATAAGCTGTGTCTGGCTAAATACTTGGATGGCAAATGGTACAGGGGCTTGACACACCCTGTTCAGTCACCTCTGCATCTCAATGTGTTTTTTGTGGATTACGGAAACACAAACATATCAGAAAAAAATCACGTCATGTTGATCCCCAGAGACTCTGGTGAGTTGTTGTACACGCCCATGCAGGCTTTGAGATGCAGCCTTGCTTCAGTGTCCAAGGGAGAGTTCTATGCAGATGTCAAGGAATGGCTCGATGGTGCGATTCTCAACAAGCAAGTTAGAGCTGTCATAGTTGGAAACAGCGATGATGGATCATTTGATGTTGAACTGTTTGATGGAGATGTTAACATCAATGAGAAGGTAAATGAGCTTATTTTCAGTCTTTCGCCTAAACCAAAAGCAAACATCAGTTTTGACATAAACAGCATACAGGGATACCAGAAATCTCTCAGCTCAGACATCACAAAGCCATCAGTCAAGTGCAAGAATCAGCGTAACAGACGATCTTCAAGCTCTCCTGCATGTAAAGCACACAGAGGCACTCAAGCTGAGAGGGAAACCCATAAAAAGACAGGAAACACGAGAAGTGTTCGTGGGAAAAAACAGCACAATAACACAAAAGTCAAACAAGGAAATGAGGGCAATACAAAGAATCACGTCCCTGAAAAGCCTCTGAAATCCTCTCCAGATAAAGACCAGAGAGAGTATTTGGATACCAACACAAAGTCCAAACATACACAATTGACAGAAGAAACACAGATACCTCAGCTCTCGTGTTTGCCGAACATGAAGGTGGGTGGCAGTTTTATGGCCAAGTGTTTTGTCTCCCACATTGACTCAGTCGACAGTTTTTTCCTCCAACTGTCAGTAGATGAATCTGCCATCTTGAAAATGGTTGAAGATCTCAACTCAGGTGTCCTCCGAGATTCATTGACTGCTGCCACATCTTTGAGAATCAATGACCTTGTTCTGGCTGAGTATGAGGAAGATGGCGCTCTGTATCGTGCTGTTGTGAAGGACTTTGAAGGAAGTTCCTGTCTCAAAGTAGAGTTTGTGGACTACGGAAACTCAGCAGTCATTGCGAAGGAGAAGATCTACTCCATACCAAAGGAATATCTGTCTCAACCCAGATTTGGCATACCATGCTCCTTATTGTACACAAACCTGTACAAAGACGATGAGTCTTTCACTGAAGCTGTCATGGAGAAGCCTCTCTGGGTAGATTTTGTCTGTCAGTGGGGAACTCAGTGGAAAGTCAAGATCGAGATTCATGAAGTTCCAGCTATACTTGGAGCTACTGTTGAAAGAAGTACCAAAAGGGAAAAAGAAAGGGAAGCCCCCCAGAGTTCATCTGAAATAGAAGAGCGAGTGAGACCCTGTGAACAGACCAACTTGAAAAAAGCTGTAACACAGAAGGAAGCAACTACATCCGAAACGATGCCTACTGCATATGGGGAAACCTTGACCCGAGATCCACCACCTGGCACACTGGCACCAAAACTAAAGGTGATAAACTACAGGCGGCATAAAACAACACGAACCAGAAACAGGACTCGGAAGAAAGCTGCTTTGAAATCCTCTGTCAAAGCAAGTGATTGGGCAGATGCAGTCATTCCCTCAAAAATTCAAGCTGGCACAGAAAATGCTACATTCCTGTCGGTTCTGAGTAATGGCAATTTTTACATCAGACTAAATAAGACCAGTGAACTGCTTGCTGCACTGAAAAGTCGCATAGCTGACAACCTTTACAAGTGCAAGGTGGTGGCTGAAGAGGATGTCAAAGTAGGCCTCAAGTGCTTAGTTAAGGTGGACAAGGACACGCAGTGGCACAGGGCTGTTGTTCAACACGTGGGCCTGGGGAAAAGCCAGGTCCTACTCGTGGATCAAGGAGTATCAGAGGAAATCCCAAATGGCTTAATCCGAAATACTTGCAGTGACCTGACAGAAATCCAGAACCTTGCAGTTCTGTGCAAGGTGCACAGCCTTGGGTTCAGTGAGAGAGCATGTGCTGACACATCATGCTGGGAAACCCTACAACTTTTAGTGGATAAAGAAGTCAAGCTGACGTTTGTCTGTTATTCAAAAGTGGATCAACTCTGGGTGGTTGAGATTGTCATGAATGGATTGTTCCTCGTTCAGCAGAATGAGATGATCCAGACACCTGCTGAAACCAGAAATGAGACAGAAGAAGAAGAAAAAATACATTTGGACGTGAACACAAGTCCTCTTCAGCAACTTGTCTTTGCTCCTGTTGATATAGACAAAATGTATCCTGGATTTGCTGCCGCAGTGACGACCCCCTTCGAGTTCTGCCTTGTTCTGGAAGACTTGCTCCTAATCATGAACAAACTATCCCTGATGTTGGATGACCTCCCTGAGCAGATGCCTCCTCTCCCTGAAGTCCACCTTGTCCCTGGCACCTGCTGCCTGATAAAATCAGAGTCCAAGAACAAGTGGTGCAGGGCTGAAATTGTAAACGCCGACACCATAGCAGTTCTAAACCTGGTGGATTACGGCCATTGTGAATGCATGCAGTGTGAGGACTTTTCCGAGCTGAAGGTGCTTCCAGCAGAGATGACGAACATCCCAAAGGTGACATTCCCCTGCATCCTGAGAGGGGTGAAGCCAGTTGATGAGGATGGACAGTGGACCGATGATGCCGCAGTGTTCTTCCAGCAGTGTTTGTACCAGAAGAACCTCCAGATCTTCTTCAGGGAGTTTGAGTCCAACACACACTGGAAGGTGGACATCCTGGCTGATGGCGTCCATGTGGCCAAAGAGCTGGTCGATGCTGGGCACGCCAACTACATAGACGTCATGCTAGGATTGCGGTATGTTCTTGTTCCTTTATATTTATGTTTCTTAACATGATTGTAGAGAATTGAAATAGAATAGAATAGAATTCCTTATTCCTGATACTTCTAGGTTCCAGGAGCAGAGCCTCTGTAAAGCCGCCTCTCGTAGCCCTGACAGTGGAGACGAGTTTGTCCAAGCAGATGAAGCCTCCGATGGGACGTCCCATCTCTCTGTCGACTTTACTGATGAAGCCGGGACGGTGCCACTCAGCGCCGTGTCTGGATTTAGACATTGTAAGAAAAATAGTTTGATAAGAGATTTCTAGATGAGATTTTAGAGTTTCTGGCTTCTTTTTAAAATGAAAAATGTCAATTTTATAGTCTCTAAAACCCTGGCAGAAACGGCAGGAGTTTTAAAATCCTTACCAATCCTTACGCATCAGGACAATCTTAACAGATATTCTTCTCCATATTCTCAAGCATCCACACACTACAAGATAGGATAATCATGGAACATAACATACTACAGGAATTTATTAGGATTATCGTGCCCGACAGAGGAAGGCACCACCTCACATGACCCAATTTTAAATTCTAAATATTAAACATGTTTATAATAAATTGGGGCGCCAAACTCCAAGCAGATTTGGGACTTTAAGATTGGATCTGCGGTTGTCGGGGAGGGGGAATCTGAAATTGGCCTTAAAATTTACTGAAGCCACTGAATTACTTAAGAGGAGGACTTGTTGATCTTTAGCTCAGATGTAGGATTTGAAAAAGGGTTGGCAGGTTATGTTATAGTCTTATGACTTTCTTTTCTCCTTTTTCTTTGAAAGGTTTTCTGATGTGAAGGCGGTGTGCTTGAATCCTGTCCCTGAAATGAGCAGCGAGACCCTGGATGCAGTGATTCCCTGTCGCCTAGCGTCGGATGATTCATGTGATATGCAGCTTGTTGAAATGTTCGGCCAAAAGATCCTCTACATGTCTGCGTTTGGTGAATGACGGCTGCTTAAGAATAAATCACAAAAAAAGAATAATCACATCTCAGATTAATCAAAACTACCTTTAAGTTACGTTTACATGTTATGTATTTTTATTTTGAGAGAAACCGGTTGTTTTTCTTTCCATTTTATTCACGTAGTTTCAGTCGTTTTTGAAGATTGTTGAGTCAGCAGCGCCACGTCTCTAAAAAATAAAGGTAGATGGTGAGGTTAGAAAACAGAAACATTTAGTTCTGGTGTAAATCAGGTGTTTTATGCATGACTCTTAAAAAAAAAAGTGGTTTTATGGGAACTTGTGAATAAGTCTACTTTGGTCATTTGGAGTTTTGGTTTTCATTTGGCACTTATTGGAACTTCTCACTGCAATTTAAACTTAAACTGTAATTAACTTGCTGTAATTGGGGTTTTTTTTGTGTGCAGAATAAATTTGAGTTATGAAGACTTGTGTGGAAAAATGTTCTCCTTATTGACAAGACTACGTTGGACCTTTAAACTAGTAGTGGTACAGATGTTCTCATCGGGGGTGAGAGGAAAATAAAGATTGTCAGCTTTGGGAGTATAAAAAGCTGCCACTGGATGGCACTGTTGATTCAAGATTAGTAATGGGAAGTCTTGTGCTGGGCTCGTTATTTCGCTATGCTGAGTCAATGAAGCATTGTGAAGGTAAGTCTGGATGTTTTTTCTTCAAGTTGTAAGATCAGTAAATCTGAAAGTTACGTCATATATGTGAATATTTAGGGCTGTTGGGAGTAAAATACCCAAATCATACTGGCTGGTTCTGTTGAAAAGGTGTAAATAGGATCTATATTTCGTGTTTCAATGTCACCTGACTAACACAAAAATCAAGTCGATTAGTTATTAGCGCCTGTGGTATTTGTTTATGTCCTTCAGATGTTTTTTTAGTTTGTGTGAAGAAAATTGTTATTGTCAGAAGTGGGATTCGAACCCACGCCTCCAGGGGAGACTGCGACCTGAACGCAGCGCCTTAGACCGCTCGGCCATCCTGACATATTAAACACAAGTAGCGCCATTTTATTTATAAAGCTAGCCTTATTCACATGTACAGCGTCCGCTTTTATTTCGAAAATTCCACCGGAAGGACACAAGCTTCCGGTTGGAATCAGGTGTTCTGTCGAGATGTGCTACCTTGTCGAAAAACTGTTACACTGGCAGAGGTTATCCGTATCCTCTATCAAATAATGTTCCCATATCAAATTAACTTTATGATTATTTTACCACCCATTCTAGATTCATTGTCAGAGTATGGAGAGCAAGTTTTTAAACTTTGTAAGCGACAGCAACAATGACGTCACTGGCTACGTCAATTTTGCTGAGTGAGTGCACTATATAGTCCACTGCATTAAACTCACTATATAGTGAATAGAGAGTAGGGATCAGTGAGTGATTTCGGACACAGCCGCTGTTCACCTTTGGTGCATTTCTCTGTTTTAGGACTCATTCTAGTTCTCTGGTTAGAAAAAAGCTTTTTAACCAGCAGAGGGAGAATTAACCTGAGAGTGACCGATACCCCAAAAATAAAGGAATGTAGAGAAAATGTTCACTTTCAAAAAGACTCTGTAATTTAATGAAGGAAACACAAAAGGCACACAGTAGAATTAAGTGGTAAATGTTTATTTATGTACAGATGACATTTTAATATGATTTAATAAAGACATGATTATAACAGACTGAAGACTGAAAATTAATAAAAGAGATCTATTATGCTGATCCATATTTAACAACATACATATAATGACCATAATACCATAATAACCTCTGCAACATTTTTTTTAAACACAAGATACACAGATGTTGGTGTGGTTTCCTGCTGCTCTGAACAAGACGTTAAAAGAAAAGTCGTGACAGTTAGCCACTGATGCATCAGAACAAAACATGGGGTAAAGTTGCAGGAAATGACCACCCTGGCAGCTCTTTCAAGGACACGCCCAACCGGAAGCTCATTGGTTCTCCTGCAGGAAGCTTCTGAAAAGCTGGCCAATCAGAGTAAAGTGGGCATGTGGGGAGGGGGGCTCTTAAAGAGACAGAAGCTGAAATTAACCGTTTCAGGCAGAGGCTGAAATTTGGGATTTCAATGATGACAGTATCAGAAAAATAAGAAGGTTTTTGAGCTACACATCTCACAACGCTACTCAACAGGTGTCCCAGACTGACATGATTAATGGTGAAAGTGAGGCTAATAGACCTCCTTTAAGTAAAACATTCAATCAAATATATTGAAGCAACAATAAGACATGAAAGTTAATTTGACATAGTGATTAAAATTAGATTATTCTGACATTTTAAGGCACTCAAAAATATGAAGAACTTTATACAAATGAAGCTTTCTACAAAAAAAATATTATCTGCCATGTTTGCAAAAACTGAAGATTAACCCAAGTGATGATTGATAACACAACACAATCTTTCTTGAACAGCAAGCTCATTAAAAACAGACCGGTACGTTCGACCATGTTCTCTCCCTCCTCCTTCACCTGCTGCTCACCTGAGCGGAGGAGAGGAGGAGGAGGAGGAGGAGGAGGAGGAAGGAGGAGGAGGAGGAGGGGGGGAGAGGAAGAGGAGGGGTATTTAGAGGAGCCAGGTAGGAGAGTCAGGGGCGCACACACTCTGGGCAGCGATGTGGTGAGGAGCTTTTGTTTCCCAGTTTTACTGGTTTTCCCCACATATGTTAACATTGTTGGGTTTTATTATTTGAGTTTTGACTGGAGATCACTGTTAGTCCTATTTTGGGTCTTTTGGTTTCTTTAGTTTAATCTTTTCTTCTTAGGTAGTTTTAGGGGGAGGTACCATAATGACGGCACATTACGTGGTTGGCTCAGCATCTTCCCATCTTTTGTTTTTTTTCTTCCGGGTCTCCAGCCCCTTTTGTTTCTTATCTATCTTTGATTACTTTGGGGGGAGTGGGGTATTTACAATAAATAAAGCTAGGGTTGAACTTTAAATCTTTGTGGCGTCCTTGTATGTTTTCGGTCTCAGAGTTTTGAGCCTTGGTTTAATAATTTTGGTTCAGGAGGCCGTAACAAATATCAACTTCATATTCCACATCAGCACATTTATCAAATCCTCACTTAGTACCTCAAATAAAATGTGGATCCATGTTTTTATGCTCAAAAGTACAATATAGAAATGATTAAAAGCGGTGGATTAATGTATCTGCTGAGTGGATGTTTGTGTGGAAGTTGTTGATCAGTGGAGTCTGACAGAAGCAGAAGGTTCTCCAACATTTTCATAGTTCACTGAGCCTTCATCTCCATCATAATACACCTGTGAAAATACAAAAACATACGAGTTAAAATGGAGAAATGTTCCTTTTCTTTATGAAGACAGTTCATATGAGGCTTTATTTCCAGCTCACAGTGATGTCATCAGGTGGTCTCTGGTTCCCTGAAAAATAAAGCACACAGAAACATTTCAGCTCTGACTTTAAGGTTGGTGGTGATAGGTGTGAATAAAAGTTGGTGTGAGTGTTTCTCACCTCGAGCTCTGAAGAGAAGAACAGTGATCACAGTAATCAGGAGGAGTTCAGCCACACGCAGAGCCAACATGACCAAGTCCAGATCAGAAGAACCTGTACAATCTGATGAACAGGAACCAGAGGTGGGCAAAGTTAATATTTCATATTTAAATGACTTCACAGATTTTGACTTTATTCCATCAAAATCACAACATTCCTCCCTGAGGTCTTCTTCAGGTGATCGTGTTTTAACAAAGGAGGGGGGGCCACGCCCATTTATATAGATTTCAACACCAATAGGCTGATAGGCACTATGATGGCCCGGTGTGGTCAAAGAGTTTCTTCTTCTGGTTCTGCGTCCACTGAAGACACAAATGCAAAAACACAACAAGAGATAAAATCAAACAGCTAACTCAAGGCCAAGCTGAGAGCTCTGATTGGTCTGAAAGAAGCAGTAACTGCATCAACTACTTAGTAAGTTATTATCAAAACTATAGAGTTAAAGCTTTAAAAAAAAACACTTTAAAACATCTCAGTGAAGTGGAAAGTCTGCATGGTTGTGGGTTGACTGTTGAGTCATTTAAAGTTAAAGCTTTGTTTGCTTCTGTCAGAGGCTCAGTGTGATGGTTCAGAACATTTGGAAATGTTGATTTGTTACCATTTATTAAACAACAAAAAAAGAGAAAAAACAAAAAACAGGGATATTGGTAGACTGCCTGCATGTGTTGTCTTTGTGACAATTTAATAAAATCAGACGTATAAAAACGCTGACTCACCACCGTGTTGACCTGTTGTTGTTGTTGTTGTTGTTGGTGGTGGTGGTGGTCTTGTTGTTGTTGGTGGTGGTGGTGGTGGTGGTCTTGTTGTTGTTGGTGGTGGTCTTGTTGTTGGTGGTCTTGTTGTTTCTCTTGCGTCGTCACCTGAAGAAGAGATAAACACAGTTCATCAAAATGTTCAGTATAAAATTTGTGTTTTGAAAACAAGTTTATTTATAAAACATCTTTCAGACTCCAGACAATTCAAAGTGCTTCACACAGACACAAAAAAACATTTCAAACATTTCACAAGATGATAATAAAACTCTAAGAAGAGAATAAAAGTTGAGGTAAAAACTGAAGGTAAAAATAAGATTTAAATACAGATAAGTTGAATAAATAGTAATTGATTTATTGAGTTATTGTTAAATAAAGAAACAGTGTTTCTACTTAAAAACATCTGAAAGTAAAACAAAACAAAGCAGGTCAAGTGTCTCTAATAACGGACATGGTGGTTTACTCCAAAGACACTTTGAAATGTTTTGATATAAGAAATGTAGAGTCCAAAGTAAGGATGGAGATTTTATAAGAGAAACACAACAAGAGACAAATTAACTTCATCAGAGTCTTTATAATTATTGTAATGTTTCAGTTTATTGTTTGAATTAGAAAAGTTTTGTTTGAAAAGATTATTGAAATACTTACTCTTGTTAACAGAGAGAAGAACTCGAGTCACATCGCCTGTTCTTCTTCCTGATATGAACTGTAGACACTCATAACGTCCAGCATCCTCCTCTGTGATCTTCTTTATAACCAGAGAACAGTCCTCTGTAACTCTCAGTCTGTCTGATTTAACTCTAGAGTTTCTTCTAACCTGCCCATCTACAACCAGCTCTACTGCTGCGTTGTTTCCTAAATCTAAGAACCATGTCGTATATTTACACTTCTGTTGACCTTGTATCACAGTTTGACAAGACAACGTGGCGTCCTCTCCAACTCTGAATGTGACTCCTTTAACTACAACTGCGGCTGCTGAGAAAATGACAAAGAATAAAGTAAATCAATAAAATGTTGATTATATCACAATCAGTTTGAGAATAATTCTTCATCTGTGGTTTCTCAGAGTTCATTAAATCCATCATGTTTAAAAAAAGGTTAAATATGTGATATAAATGTTCTTACCAGCAAACTGAAGCAGCGCTGTGAGAAGTAAAGAAGTTTGAATCCATTTGAGCTCGTTCATGGTGATTCTCCGTCTCTGTCCTCCCGTTGTCACGCTCCTAACTGTCTGAGTTTCTTCAGTAGTGCTTCTTTAAAGAGACGCTGCATCTACTTCCCTTTCTTAGTATGTCATCACTTCCTCATTTTGACTTCAAGCCTGCTTTACGTGTTCACTTTTCTTAATGTGTCATTGTTATGAAAACATGATGTAACATGTTTAAATGATCATAAACTGATGATCATTGAGATGAGCTGCATCGATCAGTAAAGAGGTCAGAGGTCAGAGGTCAGAGGTCAGAGGTCAGAGGTCAGTACAGGCCGAGTACAGGCCGGTCACTCTCGCCTTTAATATTTGATTTGTTTTCTGATTCACCGTCAGATTTAAAGTTTGTTAATTTTAACCATTAAAATCAAAAGATTACAAACAAATCCTTCATTATCTTGATAAGAAATATTTATTTTACATGACAAAACAGTAAAGGTTCAAATAAGGCTAATCATTAATGTTCATCTTGTTAATAAAGTTTCAAAACTGATCATTATTCAAGAGATGTGTTTCTAAAAGAAGATGGAGAGGACGGAGGAAGTTAAATGTGTGAAGATTGTGAGTTCAGATAAACGTCTGAAAAGTGCAACGCTCCTCTTTAGATGGTGTTTCTGAGTAAACAGTCAGATTTAATAATGATGTCTGAGAGCAAAAAGTGAACAAAACATGGAGGGTCAAACTCCTTGACCTCCTGAATACAACTCTGAATGTCCGTCGTGTTTGAGAGATCAGAGATCAGATGTTATTTTAGTGCTGAGATGTGTTGACGCATCATTTTGAGTCTTTTCTTGAGAACTGAAGGGGAAGTCGTTTGGTTGTTTGTGATCAGTTAGACGAGTTGCAGTAAACATTTCAACATCAAAGGGTATCATCATCAGTTCATCAATACTGTTGCAGGTCAGAGCTGGTGAGGAAAAAGCAGAGGGAGAGACCGGAAATCTCACAGCTTAAAGACGTCATATTCTGACCTTTTTGGGGTTCATATATTTAATCTATGTATCTACTAAAGTATGTTCACAATCGCTAAAGTTCTTAAAAAGTGTCTGTTTTCATGAACTGCCGCTCCATGCACCGCTCGCTTCTGACTCTATCTCTAAGGCTCTGAAGTGCCCACGTTCACAGTCCCCACGTGTGGTCTGATCTGATTGGTTGGCCTGTCGGCTCTGCCGTAATTGGTCAGTCGTTCAGCACGGTCCTCGGAAATGTCCCGCCCCTTTTACCATATTGTGAATGCAGCCACTTTGGCTCCGAGGGGAGAAAAAACATTAACACCTCAGCACTACTGTGCTACCGCAGGCTACAGCATATCGTGGGCGAGCTACAGAAGTTAACAGGCTGCAACATGAGCAGCAGGGCTTACCACAACGAGCCAATGGGCTCAGCAATACACATCAATATATCAACAGTAGACACTTAATTAATACAATAAGAAAATAGCTCAAACCCATATTAATAGTATCATTCATGATTTCATGAGAAAACAACAAAAACAACAGACAGGACAGAAGAAATGAATAAAAATACTATTAAATTCTTAATTTATTTAATTAAAAATCTGTCCTCCTCCCCTCTATGTTACAGCAGTGTCAAAAGCACTTCAATAATACTGTTAATGAATTAATGTTAAGTTAATAACTTTATTTGAAGTTTAAGTTAAGTTGTAAATTAAATAGGCCTAGTTAGTAGTAATCATCTGCTGAAGTCCTGTTAGCTGCATTTCATTGTGCATACATGACTGTATCTGTCTTTACACTGAAGTTTTGTGTTTTTGTAAATTATTATTGTTAATAAAGCACTTAAAACTTTAAGTATGACTCTTATTACTTCAGTAAAACCACGTTTTAAATCCTGATTCACCACAACTGGTGCCCCACCGTCGGGCCAGTGGTGGTCAGGCCCCTGCTGAGTTGCACCCCGCTGAGGGGTGTCCTTTATTTTTCTGCTTGGAAGGTGGCAACCCTAATCTCAGCGGACAATAACCCATCTAATAATGCTCTCAGAACAGAATCACTTGCTGTATTTTCACTTTCAGGAAACACGTTCTGATACTCTGGGATAAAACCTTTACTGAAGAAATTAGATGGAGCGTTTCTCGATAGACGAAAAGCCCATTATGCTCCCAGCACTGCACAGATCCGCACGGTAGCATTATTCGATATAACACCGGCGTATGTCACGCTCTAGAATCATTGGACGACAATGAGACGTTCTAATATCACCATGGCAACGTTACAAGTACGAACAGTTTGCTGTAGAAGCAAGCGAACGTTATGACGTCATGTCACCGTCAAAGTTCTAGAACTCAGTCACGCACGTCATTGTATTTGAACTTATCTACAATTCTAACGACATAAACGCATGTATTCATGTGTCTCTATTCTTGGTCATGTGGCGTAAATATATTTAGTGGTAATAGAGCGAGGAGGACGGGGTCGGAGCTGGAGTCGATCCCGCGCCTCTTCTTTGAAAATATTGTAAAGCACAAAGAAATCTTGAGCGGAAAATCCGGTTATTTACTTTCAAAATAAGAGTTCAAATGCGCTTTGTAACATTAAACATTGAAAAATCACAGTAAAGGATGAATATAGTTGGGATTAAGAGGATTATAATGACCACAGGCCCTGGACACAAACTTGCCTTGGATCAAAATATGACAGTCGCACTGTGTCCTCCCCAAGCATACAGGGTATGGTAAATGGATTTGAGTTTGTAGAGCGCTTTTCTAGTCTTCTGACTACTCAAAGTGCTTTAAAACCGCAGGTCACACCTACACATTCACACACTGATGGCAGCGATGTGCAGTGACCATCAGAATAAACTAATCCCATTCATACTCCAAGGAAGCAGCGGGAGCCACTCGCATGCACATTAACAACGCCCCCCTTCTGCACCTCTCACTGACCTCAGACACTTGTCCTCAGTGAAGCATCACACAGAGAAGACAACCAAGAATATCTAAGTCTCATAAACGTGCAAGCAACAACAAAGTGTATTAAAATCAGTTTGATCACAGTTATGTTGCTTTAAAGTGCGCACAATATAAACTGCTGAAGGAAAATCCAGGAAGAAATAAACACACAGATGATGTTCAATTTAGCCTCGCTTGAATAATACGATCCTGATCATTTTAATAGGAATTAAAAAAGACAAAACGTCCAGCCTGCACTGTTGAAAAATCTGTATTTATTAATGATTTACAAAAGGCTAAACATTTAAACGAGTCAGTTCATTTGAAACCTACAAAGGAGTCGTTGTTGTTGTTGTGGGGGGGAAGAGGAGACACGTCTGTGGTGAGGTTAAAGGTCAGTTATTAGAACAGCTTCTGATCTCGCGGTGGAGGATCGGGTTTGAGTGGAGGCTCCTGCAGAGAGAAATTAAATAAATCCACACACAGGATGGAGTCGCTCGAGCAGAAGGAGAGAGACACACACACACGAGTGAAACGAGCTCGACGTGCGTTCCTCTTCTACGTCGTCAGAGCAGCCGTTTTGGTGAATGTGTTTGTGTTAATTGTGTCTTTTTACATATTTGTACAACCACAATTCTGTCACCTTGACTCCATCAGGATCTCCGTGCCTCACAGCTGGTGTGAGAACGAGAACTGTTCTGAGTCCATCCGCAGAAAAACACAGATTACTAGCAGAAAGTAGTCCACTTCTCCAAACAGTTTGCAGACACATACGCAATATTAAAAAAAAAAAAAAAACAGGGTTTTTGTGCAAGTATGTTTTTTTTTCTGAAATAAATATCTGTAAAGCAAACTAGGACTTAAAGAGTAGTTTTTGTTTTTTGTAT